CTTCCCCCTGGCAGCCGAACATGGGGCAACATTTCCGGAGAACGTGGTCTGATGCCAAGCTCTCCCATGGCAAGAAACACAGGTGCACTCACTACTTCCACTTAATATAATTTGTCTAATGTCCTCATCATTCCATCATCACAAAACCCAATAATACTTGGGTTCCAATTTGGGATTTGGCCATTGTGAGAGCTGGCAAGCTTTCGGGCCTCCTTTGGTTGGCAGGTATGAGTTTCTCATCAAAGACCATTAGTGAAATGTGAACGCTGACTTACTGGTTGCATCATGGGACATCTTTTCCTGGGAAATGGGTTCCTGAGTCCCCGTTGGGGGGGCCACAGAGCAGTGCCTGCTCTGGCCTGGCCTGGGTTGGCTCATCTGCATGGTGTCCACAGCCAGTTGGGAAAGTAAAGAAATAAGGCCAAACTGGCATTGGTTGCTCTTCCAAAGGGTTCTTTTTATTGGCTTCAACACTTTATTTTAAAATAAGAATTCCACTGACTTCAATGATGTCTGCCTATTGCCTATCGTGGCCTTGGTACTGTGTTAGCCACTGGGGATGTAGCAATGATGTGGACAGGCGAGATTCCTTCATCCCTGACCGACCATTGAGTGGAAAAACAGTTAAACCGACAGTTACAGGATATGCTGTGATGGGGAAGCCCATGTGCTGGGGACCTGGAAAGTGAGGGGCTGGTCAGGAGTTAGGTGAATGGGATGTTTGTGCTGCTCAAAAGGTATTGTTGGGAATCTCTTTTTAAAATTGTGGCAAAATATACAGATCATAAAGCTCACAATTTCAACCATTTCTAAGTGTATTTTAGGTACAGTCACTGCCATCTTTCCCCAACTGGAACTCTGTACCATGAAAATTCAACTCCTCATCCAACCTTTCCCGGCCCGTCAGCCAGCACTACCTTTTCTTTCTCTATGAATTTTCTACTCAGCTATCATACAGTGTTGTCCTTTTGTGACAGGCCTATTGCACTCAACTTAGCCTGTGTCAGAGTCTTGTTTATTCTCTTTTTGTTGACCTACAGTTGAGTTGCATCCTCCTTTTGGCCATTGTGAACTATGCAGCTATGGACATGGGTGTACCGATACCTGTTTGAGTTCCTTTGTGTATCTATGTAGGAGTGGAGTTTCTGGATCACATGGTAATTGCATGTGTAACTTGTTGGGTAACCACCAGGCCTTTTTGGACAGCAGCTGCACCATCTTGTGTTCCGTCAGCAGTGCACCAGGATTCCCCCTGCATGTCCTGCCAACACTTGCTTTCTATTTGTTTACTAGCAGCCATCCTGATGGCAGTGATGTGATACTCATTGTGGTTTTGATTTGTTTCTCTGAAGACCAGTGATGTTGAACCAGGAGGCGTCCCCTGCTGGAAAAGCAGCAGACTTGGCAAGAGAGACGCAGTAAACAAGTGTGGGCGGGGCAGGTGTGGAGTAAGCAAGTGTGGGCGGGGCAGGTGTGGAGTAAACAAGTGTGGGCGGGGCAGGTGCAGAGTAAACAATGTGGGGGGGCAGGTGCGGAGTAAACAAGTGTGGGCGGGCAGGTCATAGTAAACAAGTGTGGGGGGGCAGGTGCGGAGTAAACAAGTGTGGGCGGGCAGGTCATAGTAAACAAGTGTGGGGGGGCAGGTGCGGAGTAAACAAGTGTGGGCGGGCAGGTCATAGTAAACAAGTGTGGGCGGGCAGGTCATAGTAAACAAGTGTGGGCGGGCAGGTCATTGTAAACAAGTGTGGGCGGGCAGGTCATAGTAAACAAGTGTGGGCGGGGCAGGTCATTGTAAACAAGTGTGGGCGTGGCAGGTGCGAAGGCCATTGAAGTCACCCGTCCAGTGGGTCACCTGGTCAGATCGAAGGCCCTTGAATATACTCCTAACACAGGTATATGACAGCTTCCCCTGAAAGGAAGGGCAGAGACAGGGACTCCACTTCTGGCGATGTTGGCTGGGAGTCTTTGCTAATATACCGTTTGAATTTGATTCATTCTTCTTTTTTTTTTTGGATTTTTTTAAATAGAGAGAAACATCAATGTCCGAGGGAAACATCGATTGACTCCCTGCTGCATGTCCCCTTCCAGGGATCATGCCCGCAACCCAGGCATGTGCCCCGATGAGGAATCGAACCAGCAACCTTTTGGTGCACAGGACAACGCCCAGCCAGCACTGGCCTGGGCCACCTGGTTAACCGGCTTGGCTTGCTGACACTCAGTTTTGGTCAGTAGGGAAAATGGGCTGGGAAAGTACAGGGATATTGAGTAAGACTGACCATACAATGTAGTGTTTGTAAAAATGAAGAAAGAGCACATCAGCCTAAATTTTTCTAAAGTCAGAGGAAAATAGAGACTCACGTGGGAGATACCAACAATGCCATCCTAGAGACATGGCTGTGAGGCCATGAGATGGCTCAAAGGCAGCAAGGAGTGCCTGCCTGCGAGCGTGGGGAGGCTGGACATGAGAGATGGAGTCAGGGCTGGGTCCTGGAGGTGGACCAATGACATGGAAGGACCTGGAAAAATGAGGTTAAGGTGGCAGGACCAAGATCATCTAGGGCAGCGGTTCTCAACCTGTGGGTCGCAACCCCTTTGGGGGTCAAACAACCCTTTCACAGGGGTCGCCTAAGACGATCGGATAACACATATTTAATTACGTATTGTTTTTGTGATTAATCACTATGCTTTAATTATGTTCAATTTGTAACAATGAAAATACATCCTGCATATCAGATATTTACATTATGATTCCTAATAGTAGCAAAATTACAGTTATGAAGTAGCAACGAAAATAATTTTATGGTTGGGGGTCACCACAACATGAGGAGTTGTATTAAAGGGTCGCAGCATTAGGAGGGTTGAGAATCACTGATCTAGGGCCTGAGAACAGTGCTGGAGCAGTAAGAAGACTTAAACATTAAACTGATTTGGACAAGCGATGAGCACCAAGAGGCTGGCTCTACGTGGGGATGGCGGTGATGTAGCTCCTTCACCCTCCAGCATCTACTGCGCAGTCTCAGCACAGCTCGCCTGTCAGAGGGACAGAGGGAGCCTTCGTTCCGCACCACGCCCCCTCCCTGTGAGGAAGGTCAGTTCCGGCCTCCTTGGGGCTTTGGGGCACGCCTGGGTCTGGCTCTGGGCAGGGCTGGTGGCCTCGCTGGACAGTCCTAAAGCCTGGCTGTGCTTTGCTCACTCGCAGCTTCCCACTGGAGCAGGCAGCTCCTCTGTGCTCTCCCTGTCCACAGGCAAACCCAGCTGTGTCTTCCTCCGCTGAGGTCTCCTCCCCTGGGCAGACTCTGGGGATGGGCAGTGCCTGGCCATATGTTGGCCCAGGTGCAGGCACACTGCTCCGGATGGTGTTTCTGAACCGGGTGGCCAGTCTCGGGGAGCTTTCCTATGCAGCTGCCCTTCCTCCACACTGGAGAATCTGAGCAGGTGAATTGGAAGCGGGGCCCGGACTATCTTGTTAACAAGTGCCCAGGTGATTGTAAAGCCAGGCTGGCTTGGCACCCTGTCAGGAGCGGGCAGGTGAGGGCAAGAACCACCCCTGGAGTCAGTTCCGGACCTGGCCCATCCAGAGTCCTGTGAAGGGAGGAACCCTCTGCACAGGTGGCTCTGCTGGGGTGATGCTGAGACACCCCAGGCAGAGGCTGGGCGGCCAGGGGTCCCTGCTCCCTTACGTGGACAGAGGCTGGGCAGCCAGGGGTCCCTGCTCTCTGATGTGGACAGAGGCTGGGCAGCCAGAGGTCCCTGCTCCGGACAGAGGCTGGGCAGCCAGGGGTCCCTGCTCCCTGACATGAACCAGATGTTTGGTTTCTCTTTTGCATCCACTGGGGAAGAGGCCTGGAAGTTGACCTTGGTCTCCAAATGTCGGCCTTTGTGTTTCCAGCTCTGCCAGTGGCTGTGCTCATACACAGAGCCCCTTAAGTAAAGTATGTTGTTCTGTGCGGGATGTGGTTACTGTGACTCAGTTTTTAACTGAGGGATACTTCTGTTGTTAGGCAATTCTCTGCTTGGACCTTGAGAATTTTAAAATGAGACATTCCTTTTTGAGTAAGATTAAGACAGATGGAGAGGACAATTGGCAATTTGGTGGCGGAGCCCAGATCCTAACTTTGTCCTGTTCGTTTGCAGCCCGAGGTGTGACTTGTGGGAACCAGAGTTCACGGACCTGCCTGCCTGCCCTCTGGCTCCCCA